AAATGCCAAATGTTTTCTCTCATATAAGGTGACTGACTCATAGTGGGGTAGGGAGAGGGGAGCATGGGAGGAATAGACACACTCTAGATAGGGCAGAGGGGTGGGGGGGAAGAGAGGGGGCAAGGGGTTAGCAATGATGGTGGAATGAGATGGACATTATTATCCAAAGTACATGTATGAAGACATGAGTTGGTATGAACATACTTTTTATACAAACAGAGATATGAAAAATTGTGCTCTATATGTGTAATAAGAATTGTAATGCATTCTGATATCATGTATTAAAAAATAAAATCAATTAAAGAAAAAAACATGGAATATATCTTAATCTTAKCTTGTATAGTATACATAAGTGTCCCTTTTGTAGTCTATTTAGCACCTATTTTTTTTCTTTTTATCCTTTTATTGGTCCAGTTTACTACTTAAAATGGCTCCCAGGTATCCTGCAGAAGAACTGGCTTGTGTCTCCAAAAGCAAGGAAATTATAATACTCCCCCACCTGTGTTAGACAAGCCCATTCAGATGGGAGATATAGTGCCCTGGCCCTCAACTCAATGTTAATGAATTGAGCTGGAACATTAAGCTGGAAGTCTTTTAAGACAAACAAGCGTAACACAAAATCATGTATTGGTCAGTTGACAAATGTGACCAGAGGTTCACACATAATTGTAAAGTGAATTTTCCAACTCAAAGAAATGATAAATATTTCACCTCGCCCTGAATTTCCCACTAGAGCAGTGATTCAGAATTCACTAATTCACTTTTAGTTTGGGGTAGGTAGTTCTGTAAAATTACAATGACAATCAAATAATCAGCTGTATTTATCTCTCTGTAATCTTGCTCTCCTTAATTGCTTAAAGGCTTAAATGCTCAGGTATTTTTAAAATGTTGTCCTTTTCTAAGGAGGTACATTCTCAATGGATGTAGTATTGTTGCCTAGGGACAAAAAGTGGTTCTTGGAGGAAAAACACTTTATTACCCTTTTTATGCATAAAGCAGAGATCATGCACAAGTGCATACTCTCTCTCTCTCTCTCTCTCTCTCTCTCACACACACACACACACACACACACACACGCAGATATACAGTATATCAGTGGTGTCACAAGTTCACATGGGTAATTAGAAAAAAAAAGTCTAAAAAGTTTTGAGGGCAATAATGAAAAAGAGATTCAGAAGCTCTGTTGTGGTGCATAGTGAATATTTAATAAGATGAAGCATCTGGAGTATTTATTAGAGTACAAAATATAGCATGTGCACTCAATGTTAACTACATGAATAACATTAATAATATTATTTCCTCAATTCTATCCCCTTCCTTCATACACCAGCTTTTCTTAAACTGGAATTTTTGGCCCCCTGAGGCATGACCCACACATGTTCTCAAGCATGACTGAGAATTTCCTCTGAAATTTGTTATCTTGTATTGCATTTTTAAATTGATGATAATTGTAAAGTGAATATTCCTAGCACAAAGAAATGATGAATGTTTAGGGTGATGGTTATACTGGTCATCCTGACCCAGTCATTACACATCATACACATGAGTTCAAATATCAGACTAACGCATAAAGATGTTTAGTTATCATGTATCAATGAAGAATCATAAAAGGTAATAATTGTGTACCCATTTGCCTTTATAATGGAGCCCTGCCACAAGATTCTATGGTCCAAGTTTCCCATCTTCTTGTGGACTGATAAGGAAGAAAGGTGTAGACTTTGAAACGTGATGATACTGTCAGCCCAAATGAAGGGCCACAGAGGTGTCATCTGTTATAGGAGAGAGTGCGTGCTGGGTAGCACAGGCATGCTCAAGTCAAGAAACCTTGGCTTCAGCATCCAGTATTGTGTTTGAGTTTTGAAAAGCAAGTTTTCCTCAGCAAAATAACATCATCTCTCATGTTAAACCAGTGCTATTAATTTGAGTGTTATGGGTTGTATTGTTTGTCCTTAATTCATCATTTTGTTTTGGTTTTCTGTTGAATCACAACTAGAGCATATGGAGTTTATTTCTAGCATTCCATTTGTGCATAACTAAGCAATAATATAATTGAAATAATTCAAGTACATGTATGGGTGGTGTGCACTACTGTTTTCTGCCCTATTAAAGGGAGTGTTTGCATTGCTCGGCCTTGAAGAATAATGCAATGGACTCATAGAAGTACAGAGTATTGGAGCCATCAGGAATTATTTAGTGCAGCCACCTCCCCTACCAGATGTGGACACTGAGCCTCCAGGGGAGAAATGAAGGCTCAAGGTCAAAAAGCAAAGGAGAGGCAGACTGAGGTCAGAGACCAGGTGGATGTACTTCTAATTGGGTACCAGCCCCCCACCTCATGTCAGCTGCCTCCAAAAGTGAACCATGGAAAATAAATGGTAACTCTGCCAGGCTTACAGAGGAAGGCTGGGCACAAACTAAGGAAAGTAAATAATGGATTTGTTTCAGAGCCACAAATCTCAATGTGTCAAGAGAGGAAACGGCAGCCAGTTCTCTTCCCTGCTCAGGTGAAATTACACATGAGGTCAGATTGTTCCATAGCTTTCAACAGAACAAAACAATTCTGAAGATTTTTAAATCTAAGCCCAGATGTACTTCTCTACTCTGAATTTAGGCTCTGAGCTCACTCCACCTCGCTAGGGTTGTATACTATCTTACTCTGTTTGGGCTGCTGTAACAAAATGCCATAGACTGAGTGGCTTATGAACAAGATTTTTTTTTTCCTTAAAGTTTTGGATGCTGGAAAATCAAGATCAAGGAGGCAGTAGATTCCTTGTTTTCTGAGGTTCATTTATGGCTTTCTTCTTGTTTCTTCACGTGACAGGTGAGGCACCAATCCTACCTGTGAGGGCTCCACTCTTATGACCTAATTTCCTCCCTAAGGCTCCACCTCCTGATACCATTTCAGTACATGGATTTCTAGGGACATAACCATTCTGTGCATTGGGTGCACGCACCACTGGGCAGAGAAGACCATTAGGAAATAGTGTTTCTCAGCTGCATATGGGAGTTCTGATCAATACTTTTGGTTTGAGGAGTTCAACTGAGACACAGTTACTAGGATGCAGCATTAGTTTCCTATTGCTACATAACTTGGGGTACATTGTTATCCCACCATTTCTTTGGGTCAGAATTCTGGGCATGGATCCACTGGGTGTTTCCTGCAGGGCTCACAGAGCTGGAACAAGGATTAGGTGAGGGCTGTTCTCTCATCTGACCTTTGAAATTCTCTTCCCAGCTTTCATGGTTGTTGGCAGAATTCATTTCCTTGTGGTAGTGGAACTCATTGTATTTGAGATTCAAGGCCAGCAGGAGGGATCTCTCTCTAGATCCCTTTAAAGCATCCATCTAGTTCATCTAATCTCATTAGATTAATTAAGTCAGCTCTTTAGGGGATTTAATTACATCTGCAAAATCTTTTCAACTTTGCTATATTGTATTGTATTGGTTAAAGGTCAGTTAGTTACAGGTTATACCCACAATCAAGGAGGAGAAGATGATAAAAGAACATGGGTGTCCGGAGATCATCTTTGAGTCTGCACATCACAGGCATTAGGTACTTTCCTTACTGGGCAATGAAGGGTGGTTCCTATTTACAGACTTTCATGTGACATTTAGAGCACGTTTATCAATAGTAACATGTATGTTTATGTTAAAGCTTGGAGGAGCAGAAACTCACCGCTGAGCTTAGGCAAGATTATTATCTCACCCTCAGCACTACAGGCATTTATGCTGAGTAATTCTTTCTCCGGGGTACTGTCCTATGCATTCTAAGTCATTCAGCAGCACATCTGGCTACTGCCCTTCAGATGAGGTAGCACCTCTGCCCCATTAATGACAACCAAATATGATGCCAGACATGTCAAATATCTCCATGCCCAGAAAAATCATTCCCAGGTGAGAATCACTGTATGAGAAAAATGAAGTGGTCTTGGTGGTTTTTAAAGAAGGAACTATTAAAACAGAATTTGTTTTTTAAGGTGATACAGCTCTATGGAGCCAGCAGGCTCTTGCTCCTCCCATAATGCCTGATTCTTAGATTTGCTTATTTCCTTTACTGAGAAATGCATAGTTTATAGTTGCAAATAAAAAAAAATAATGCAGGAGATGTGTTTCCCACATGCACTTTCTTACTCACGTGTATGCCAAAACAAAGTTACGTTATCATATTTGACTATGTTTTATAATCTTGTTTGAGTTTATAGTCAAGTTATATTATAGGAGAGCTTTGGTTCTGCAGTAACATGGGTCAGATATTTCCCCAAAGATTTTTAACACATCAGGCAAAAAGCTTAATAAAGTCCATTCTTGGTATCACAGCTCCTTTCTTGGAAATGAGGGACGTGGCTTGATGTGGGGCTGTTGGAAGGCACGATCCAGGTCTGAAATTACAAAACTCAAAATCTCAATCCTGTTTTCTCTAGGCAAAGGCAGCTCAAGCATCTCATCCGACGTGAGTTCAAGTACAGATCACACGCCGACCAAAGCCCAGAAGAATGTGGCTACCAGTGAAGGTAGGCATCTGGTCTTCATTATCCTGCGCCTTCCCTTTACAAGGCTGGCTATTTTTGGAAGACAAAGAAAATGTGGGAGATTTGTTCTCTTCTGCTGAGTGGGAGCATATGAGGTTATTAAAAAGGAGAGGCAAAGGATCTCCCAAGTTTCTTTTTGGTTGCACTGTTGTTACTGCCAATCAAATTTGATGGGATAGGATTTCAGTGTCTCAGTTCTAAGGCAAATTAGGTAATTTTGTGAAACTCTAGCAGGTTGACTTAAGGGAAGACTTTATGATATTGCATACCTGTTTTTCAGTATGGAAAACAATAGGCTTATAGAACCCTTGCACTACAGTTGGAAGCTCCTGCAAGAACTTGTAACATAGATGCATCTGTAATGTAGGATGCTATAATTGGAAGATCATGGTCACGTAATTTGTAGAACTTGAATCAATCACCAACCTTTGGGAGTAGCAAAGGAGGTTTTTTTGATTATTTGAAGAATAAGTGAAATGTCGTGCCAGTCAGGACAAAGATTGGTCCTATTGGTATTCTTGAGAATGAATTTGACTTCTTTGCTTGTAGAAGTACATGTGGGAATGGCACTGTTCCCAGCAGTGCAGAGGGTTAGGGTTACTACTTGATTGAGAAATCGTTTCTATGGCAGTTTTTAAGGGGAAGGTTTACCCAGTGATAGATTCAGCTTCTTGCATTTTAATGTTAAACCCAACTGAATAACTTCTTTTCTGAAGAACAGCTCTTTCTGAGCATAATCGCCCGGTGGTCCCAGGTCAACAGCAGTGCTTGACACTGATAGACTGAAATATCAGCTGATGAACTGACATCCAGTAGCACCTGCTTTTCTGAAGTGCACAGGATATCATGGGGGCACATTTCCAGCTTCTCTTTCTGAGGTTCATTTCTGCTGCTTGATAGCTGGAGCATGTGCTTGCAGGCTGGTGTTGGCCCAGGGAGCTCTGTGAATCCTCTTGATCTGTGTGAAAATTTATGAATTCACCTCTGTTGGCGTGTGTCTGCTCGTTGCATATTTTTGGACATGGTGCGTTTCAGATACCACAGAACTACCTTCTTGGTTATTACTTATCCCCAGACCAATGCATAGGTTGTTTTTGCAAGTGGATTCTTTTCTCCTGCGTTTAAAACCTTAGCATTGTTGGATGGACATCACCAACCATTGTGAGGCAGAGAAACCACAGGAAGCAATCCAATCTTAATCATCCGCCTCTGAGTTCAAATATGGGCATTAGGTTGTTCTTGAAATTGAGTCAGGGTCATGTGCAAATCTGCCTATTTGATTCTAGACTTTTGCTTGTGTTAGTTCCATTCTTAGGACCCAGAGTAGAAATCACTTCAGTCTCATTCATAGGGATCCTCTGTCGTCAGAAATGTGTTCYGTGAGATGTTCATGTCTTCCTACCATTGTTATACAGAGACTTGTTTCGATGATTTCTCTGAGTGACCATGAAAACAGAAAGTTGAACATTTAAATAATCTCTGTGTTTGTCTGATTTAAAGTTTTCATATCACTTTTTTTTGTCCTTTCCAAAAATAGAAAATATATAACTTTATGAGCTTTGTTATAGAGTTGGGGACAGGYACTGTGGGACTTCTGCATTTAAATTGTCTGCTTTTTATGGTTTTTGTTTGTTAGTTTGTTTGTTTTTTAAAGTGCCATCTCTATAAAGACTTTAAGTTTTCAGTTTTGTCTTTCTCTTAGGAAGAAGTACAGGATCAGCTATTGTTTTATACATTTTGTGACATGTATTTTTTTTTTATCATTCTGCGGGTAGACTTGGGAGAAAAAAACAGGAAACTATGATGTTCCTATGAAAAAGAATTTTTTTCCAAGTGCACTAAATTAATACAGAACTTCTTTCTAGATTTTAAGGGGAAGAGACTCATCCATGTAAAAGATGCTGTACATTTCCTTATATCCTGAAAAATTAAAGAAGTATTGACTTTTGCTCTTTGTGTGTGTGAATCCATTTTTCTATAAAATTTCAATTAATGAAAACATATAATATTAAAAAATAAACTCAATTGTGAGCATTAGTTAATGAAAATGTGTTTGAAGGGTGTTTCATGCATATCTTGTCTCATGTTAGGCTATTTTCAGGACAAAGCCAGAGCAGTCAGTCTTTGATCCTCCTCTCAGGATAGGTGGTGCTGACAGCCCATTCACAGACCCCCACCGGGTGGATTCACCTGATGGTGTGTGTTACTTCATACTGGAAAACAGCCAGCTAACCTCTGAATGCAAGACTGGCAAACACTATCTTCTCACACAGACTGCAGAAGAGCACTTTAGAAAGTGCACCTCTGATTCTCTTTCCGCTGTTTTTGAGAACAATGTTTATAATCTTTCACATTAAGAAAATGCTGGGTGGGCATGTAACTGGTTTTCTGGAAGCTGTTGGATTATGGTGATTTTCTTCAGTTCCTTGATCCTTGCCTGTATTTTCACCTCTGAATTCATCTGTATTGTTTTAAAGGTCTGCATTATGTTGGTTTCTAAAAGTGATATGTATAGTGAATAACATTTCATCGTCCTGCAGCCTTTGAAATCCAGGGCCATGCCTACAATACCTGGGTTGGAAGCACCATTAGTAGTGCTGAGCTTTGCCCAGATGGGAAGGATAGATAGGGAAGATACTATATTGGTTCTCTGGTTGTTGTTGTTGTTGTTGTTATTGGTGGTGGTGGTAGTGGTGGTGTGTGTGTGTATGGGTGGGTGTGCACACTAGAATCTGCACTCTACTGTGTAGGTAAAGGTACAGGTAATGTCCCTTACCAGGAAACATGTAGGCACCACTGTATTCAATGTGTACTGAAAAGTAAAGTAAGGATGTGGAGTAGAGGGATGGGAAGGGCACACACATAACATGTGCTTAACCTGCCTTGGGGGTGTGAATGGAGATTAACTGCAGGTGGACATCAGCCATATTTCTGTGGTGAGGACAATGCTCTAAAATTGGATAGTGGTAATAGTTATACCACTAGGAACATTTACTACAAGCATTGAATTGTACATATAAAAAAGGGCTGTTGGAGGACCTGCCACTCTGCCTGATCTTCAGACTTGTATCTAAATCATCACAAACTTGTCTTAGAAAATGCCCTCTCAGCTCTGGAAGATGAGGACCAGTGGCTGGAAGACCAATCAGGGCTGAGGCTTGGCCAGTGCTGCCAGCCCAAAATCTGCTCCTGAGTCACCCTGGCCATGGGGCCAGAACTGGCCTGAGAGCAGTCACGAGTGAGTTCCTGCACTGGCATTCCCAGCCAGCACGGAGCTGACTCATCAGAGTATGTTCTCCCATAAAGTTTTGGAAGTCACGAGACATTAGAGACACTCAGGGTTCCCAAACATATGTTCCTTGGCCTTTTCTAGATACTCTCTATTCTGTGCTCAGATTTTGTGTTCTATCCCCCATCCTAATGGTAGAAGCCCCCTGTTAGTGATTCTAGCAAGTCGGTTTCTTGATAATGACTTAGGTTCCTCCTGTCTATCCAGTGTTCCAGCAAATTCACCCTGGGTCATAGGCTGTTCTTCTACAGGCAGTGGGCATAGATGGTAATAAGACTGGATTTTAATCTATGAGAAAAGACCTACTGAAAGGGTTCCATTCCAAAGTCTCATGCAAAACTTTTGTGCATCTTCCTTTTGTGACTCTAAACACCACAGTCCTTTTAAGGAATTGGCAGCCAGCAGGAGCTTACTCCCTGATAAGTGGTATATGCTTTCTTTACAACCCATTATATTCCTTGTGACAGTTTAAGTTTCTGATTTCCTGAGACTGTAGGGGGTTTGGGTTCAAGTGTAGAAAGCTGGAAATTTTCCATTTTTCCCAACGTAATCTGCGTTCCAACGTTGTAAGGCACAGTTTAATTCTTTCCAGTTGTGTTGCTATTCTTTCTCTGACTTTTTTTTTTCTTCAGTCTTTCTCTTTGGGAAATAATGGCCTTTGACCTTCAGCAGTGAAAGTCACAACCAGCCCCTGGTTGGGGTAGAGCTCACAGCAGCCTGCCTTGAGCAGAATCAGTTGGATTGGGTTTAGATCCTGCTGAAGCTGAGAGATAGCCAGCTGAGCTTTGGCTTCTTTCATAGAACAGAGGGGTATGAGGATATGACTTTAAGGGTGGCATCTCAATAGCTCAGTCTTCTCTGGATCTGGGGAAAAGTGAAGAAGTTAATCCAAAGGTCAAATCCAAAGGTCAAACTGGCTGAGAAGAGTGTTTCCTTCAGCTGCTCTGCGAGCATACTCACGTTCAGACTCTGGAATCATTGGCCCCACAAGATCTGTGTGCGACTGCTGCTTTCTAAATGTCATTATTAAGCCAGACAGCTATGGAGTCTCGAGACTTTCAGAACTGCAAATGGTCTTGCCAATGTTCTGATCTCATATGCCTATTTTACAAAGAAATGCCTGTGTCACAGAGAAATGGAGAGATTTACTCAAGATTGCACACCTAAAATATCATTGAGCAGGAGTTTGATGTGGTGTTGTTGAGGGTTGATTAAATTAGGGCAAGCTGTTGTTTCCTGTACATGAAGGTGTTGAATTCTCTTAATTTGTCCTCTTAATTTCTAGGTGTCTCTTTTGAGCTGGCTGCAGGGCTGAGGCTGACCAGGTGGAAATGTTTGAGAAAGGTTGAACCCGTATAGATCAGTACTGCTGGTAGAAGGAAAGGGTATGCTTCAGAAGATAAGAGGGTCTCAATCTGCTTGAGTGCATTAGCTAGCTACCTGGAGAAGGAAACACCACCTCAATGCCCACTCCCCATTTACAAACAGGCCTTCAATAGATTCGTTTAATTTCATCTACAGTTGCCTGTTTAATTCCTATAAAGGTCATTTTAAGCTTTCATCAGAAGAGAATTGATTTATAAAAAATGTGTAGTGACAGTTCTTTCCCTGGAACCTAAAATCACCAGTTTATTTATATAGTTGTGGGTTTTTCATGTTTTCAGCTCCCAAATTAGGCCAATTCTGAAAAGTT